ACATTAGAAAATAACTGTGAAAACTTTTGTATTTTGTGAGAGCTTTTACAACAGGAGAGACAACTTGGGCTCTATTTAAAACACTCTACCATGATGATGCATAGCTTGCTGAATTTGTGAAAATGGACTTGCCACTTTATGGTTTGAGGGGTTTTTTTTATAGCAAAAAACCTGCTTAGACTGTGCAGCTGACCTGGCTTTCTACTGCTGGCAAAGGCTTATCACTTAAAGTTGCAGCAAGTTAAGGGTCAACAGACTATAAAGGACCTCCCAAACAGTGTCGAAGGTTACAAGGTTACATTAAGCTACATTTACAGATGATACAGGGTCACATCTCAATAAGGTCAAATTGAGGTCAAGTTCAATTAAATCTTCATTTATGTCCCAAGTATAAAGACAGTCCATTTTTTACTCACAAAGTTATAACCAATTATAGCGAAAAAAAAACGTTCTGGACAGTTAAAAATAATTTGAACTTCAACATCAAGGTCATTTATGAGTCAAGGTCAAATTGGGTTTGATCTGTTTTAAGACATTGTCTTTAAGGTAGATGTTGTCAAGAAGACATTCCATTTATATATAACAAAGTTATTACCAATTATAGAAAGAAAAAAAAATTCAAGCAAAATTCAATAATTTGACCTTCAAGATCAAGATCATTGATGAGTGAAGGTCATAGTTAAATGGGTCTTCATAAAGGTCTCGTCCTAAGTATTGTTTTGTCTAAGTTTGAAGACAATCCATTCTTAAAAACAAATTTGTAGCCAATTATAGCAAAAAAACAAGCAAATTTAATTATTTGCCCTTCATTGTCTAGGTCATTGATGATTGAAAGTCATAATCAGTTTGGTCTCCTAAGGATTAATGTGTCCAAGCATGAAGACAGTCCATTCATAGATAGCAAGGTTATAGCAAAAGTCTTGCAAAACTTTGAAGGTTATTTTACTTATTTATAAGTGAAGGTCAAGTTATCTAAGGTAACTTAAAGTCTTCTCCAACAAAGTATGAAGGTAATCCATTAAGAAAAAAATTATGAATAACGTTAAAGTTTTCGTACGGCAACAACAAGATGACTGTATAGCAAAAGCTTTTAGTTTCTTGCTAAAAATAGCTTATACATTTCACTAACCAAATTTGTGATGTTCTTTAAATTTATTTTATGTTGACATGGCATAGTGTTACTGGGAACATGCCTCACTAGGGTTATGTGAGATTCAGTTACACATATTTGTAATCAGCGGTTGATTTTTGTTTTCAAATTATTCAATGATTATCAAAGTAGAAGTAAAATAATGTTGAGTGAGGACTGAACTGGAAAGAGGACCTATTTAGTCCAACCTATCTAAGTAACAATTCATCATGTTGTTTCAATGTTTAACAAGAACTGTCAGGCTCAACTATTCGAAAAAGTTGTCACAAGGGTGTTTTATTGAGTATAATAATGCATGCTTACCAATGAATACATAAAATTGACCGAAAAGGTACAAAGGCTTGTTATTAAGATGTTTTATCAAGTAAATCACTGCTTTATTATTATGAATGCATAAAATTGTTCCAAAAAAAGGCACAAACCCTTCAGTAGTTATGGAGATAACAGCTTACAAACAAAACTTTACCATGAATTTTTAAGTTGAAAAAGGGGAGAAAAATCAGCCTAAATGCAAAATAGAATTATGGATCTTGGTCCGTGACCTACAATTTTGACCCTAAATGCATATGTGAAGTTTTAAATAAATATCTTTGATAGTTATTGAGATATGTAAAACTTGCATGTAAACATTAACCAAGAGACTAAGTAGAAAAGGGGAGATAAATCAGCCTAAATGCAAGATAGAGTTATGGAACTTGGTAAGTGACATACAATAATGACCCTTCATGCATATGTGAAGTTTCAAATCAAAATCTCTGAGTTATTGAGATATGTAAAACTTACATGTAAACATTAACCAAGAGACTAAGTAAAAAAGGGGGAGATAAATCAGCCTAAATACATGACACAGACATGAGTGCTGTTCAGTGATCATTATTTATGACCACAAATATATATATGAAGTTTCAAGTTTGTATCTTTAATAGTTTCAGAGATATGCAAAACTTGCATGTTAAACTTAACCAAGAAAAGGAGATATTTTTAGTACAAAAGGGAGCATAATTCAGTCAAAATACATGGCAGAGTAATGAATCTTGAGATGTGACCTTCAATTATGACCCTAAGTACATGTGTAAAGTTTCAAGTAAATATCTTTGAAGACCTTTAACCAAAATTTCTAAGTTTCAAAGGGGCAAATAATTTTGCAAATATTGCAGGCAGAGTTATGCAACCATGCAAACTGATGTACATTGTTACTATAAATAAGTATTTTAAGTTTCAATTGAATATCTCAAGCAATAATTGAGATGTTTGACTTGACAAAAAACTTTAACCAAAATTTTTAAGTTAAAAAGGGGCATAATTCTGTAAATATTGTAGGCAGATTTATCCAACTTGTCAATCTGATGTACATTGTTACTATAAATAAGTATTGTAAGTTTGAATTGAATATCTCAAGCAATAATTGAGATATTTGACTTTACAAAAAACTTTAACCAAAATTCTAAGTTAAAAAGGGGCATAATTCTGTAAATATTGTAGGCTGAGTTATCTAACTTGTCAATCTGATGTACATTGTTACTACAAATAAGTATTGTAAGTTTCAATTGAATATCTCAAGCAATAATTGAGATACTTGACTTTACAAAAAACTTTAACCAATTTAGACGCCGACGTGACTACAATAGCTCTCATATTCTTCGAATAGTCATGCTAAAAACTCTTTCTAGCCAAATTGCGCATTTGTGTCCTGTTAAACTTATCTTGATTGCTGCTGGGGAAAACTTATCAAGTAGTTCATTAAAAGATCTAAAAAGGTATATTTAGCTTCAACACCACTTACAGACTTAAAAGAAGTTTTCTTGAGTTTACATTTAGGCATATAGGCAGAATTAAATTCAATAGAATTTCTTTAAACTTGGCATGTTGTTAGAATATGATGAAAGAAATATTTCAAGTGAAATAAAATTGTGCATCACCAATCTCTTATTTGAATTATCTGCCCTTGAACAGAATAATTTACTCAAGGTCATTTAAAGGGCAGATAACTTATACATTTCTACAAATTTTGTTTTTACAGTTGGATTATGTTTCTCTTTCAATACATAATAACATGCAATTCCTAATTATTTCTGAAACAATTTTTCAGTTTGAATAAGGGGATTTAAATTCTTTAAAAATATGCCATTTTTTTCTTCAATGTTGAGAGAGGAAGGAAAAGAAAACAATCTGCTCTTTTGAAATTTTGCACCATGGCTCAAACCAAAGTAAGCTACCCCTGAATTAAGCAAGTCCAATACATGGGCAGTTAACTCAAAACCGAGAATGGTGACCCCCCATATATTTTTAACTTAAAATGTTTGTGACACCATATTCTTACATGCCACGTCTAAAGAAATTCCCTTGAACATTTTTAACTTTGCCTATATGTCTTTATGAATTCTTCCTAAAACGTCTATAAAGTGCCTTTGTCAAGTTTTGTTTACAAATTGGCACAAAGATTAATTTAGGACCAAAGTGATGCACATGAATTACTGACATTGTTGTGTTGCTTTGAGATTTGTCAATTTCAAATTGTTTTAAAATCTCCAATTCCAAGTTGTTTAAAAATCTCCAGGAAACATTATTTTAAAAATCAGTTGAACCTGTGAATAGCTATGATGAAACATAATGCATTTTATTATCCCTAACTCTATCCACCAAAGTTTTAAGACAATAACTAAAAGGTTTTGTTATATTGCTCCCTCTAGAGAGCAAGCCTTGACATTAGCGGTGGTCCGTTACCACCTGATTTTGGCAAGGACCACCTAATTTTGAAAACCACAGGTCCGTCGGACCACTTGAATCTTCTGGTTGGTGCAACGCTCATTTGGGAGAATGGTGATTTGGTAAAAAAAATGTTATAAACATTTTGTTTAAAACCATTTGTCCGATGTTCATGTATATGGTTCATTAATCTCTGATAAGTTAAAGACGTTCTTAGGTCATCAATAACTTCCATTTTAAGTTGCTAAAATTTTGTTTATGCATATTTTTTTCTAAATTTGCAGTGATAATAATTGACCACTAGACTCCTGGAAGGATCACCTTAATTCCGGCTAACCACCTGCTAAAAAAGTTAGTGTCAAGGCCTGGAGAGCTCCTTATTTTTGAACTACTATCATCTACAGAAACAAACCCAACCCTTTCTACCCTTACAACACCCTAACTTTAGAGGTCTTTTATTTATAATGCAAAGTTCAACCTTTAAACATAGCTTTTGAAAACTTTTACACATGTACAAATTTCTTGAATGGTTATGATTTGCTATTTTCACTAATCTTGCTAATTATAAAAATGGCTGTGTTAATCTTAGATTTTAGTGATATTAAGATGAAAATTTCAAGATCACACAATATAGGCTGGTAAAACAGCATAGACATGCATGAAAGCCTGGCTCTGTAGCAAATCTGTTCTCTTAATCTATGGTGGAATGCAAAAAGGGTACAAGGGAAAAAAAATGAAAAAAATCATGAAAATATGTGTATATCTTTATTCAGGTTGCTGCAACATGTACATCAGTACAAATACTACATAACATTTTATAATAACAAGTGTGATGTTTTCTTTTTCAAACAAAATATACACATCCAGGGAAGATACATGATTGTGTGATAATGTTATATTTTGTTCTTACAGTTTACGTTATGCACATGAAACAAAAACAAGACATACATGTGAAATTCATTTATAATATACAGACTTCAGTTTGCACAAATATGTAATAAATACAACTATAAAGCTTGGTCAGGTCTATTTAAAACAAAAAAACTTATTGAAAATATTCCAGATAAATGGTAGTACTGCTAGATACTTATCATTGAAATCTGAATTATTACAGATAATGGAACACATGATTTTAGAAAAAAAATTTAACCTTAAAAACTAAGAATGATAATTACATTTTATTTATCTTGTAGTTGAGAAGATAGTCTAATACTTAACAGTTTAAAAATAAACTGGTCCCTTAGAAAACAATTAAGGGTCAATCAATTAACAGAAATTTCAGTATTAAAAATATTTATGTTACTGAACTCATACTGTATTATTCTCCATTTAACTACTTCAGTTATTGATACTTACTGCAATATAATAATTACAGCAATATTTTCCACAATAACAAAACATTACCCATCCAAAGATATATAGTGACTGAAAAGGGTGAAAGTCGAACAAAGTTTACATTCTGACATAACTCCTTTCAATTCTTTAATTTACTTCGCATGAATGATAAATAACTCAGATGTCCTACATACCCATAGGAATTTACCTATTACATTCAAAAAATTAAAAGGGTCACTCTTTTTGTATTTTAGGCAGATCCTAATCATTTCCTAATAACAATTGTTGGTCAATCACTATTTTAACAGTCAGTTTTTTTTTAAATATAAAGTCAATTCAGCACACTTTGACAATGAAAAAATGAGCATAAAATACATTTTAATTCAACATTGGTTGTGTAGGATTAAAGTTTAGAATTAAAAAACCTAACAATATGATTACGAAAAAACAATTGCACTTTTTATATCTATTTAGTAATTCATATTACTATTGACATAATTATATATAGAGATCATTTCATCCTGCAGAATTAAAAAACTTATTTGTTGTATATCTGTCAATTTTTAACATGCATTTGATTTTCCTGTTTTTTATTTTTATTTCCCTGAATGAATGTTTCTATCATCTGTAAAAAAAATGCTAATGAAATTTTGTCACATATCTGGTATCATGTGACCACAAATTTGATCATGTGACATAAAATGGCTGCCCAGTAGGTTGACAAACTTGATCTGATGATTCCTTCAATCTTCTCATATACCGCTGTAATCTTTCCTCTAACATTTGATAAAGCTGCAAGAAATAATGAATAAAAATAATAAGTTTTTATCTGGCACAAAACATTTTACTCCCGCCAGTAATGATTTTTACACATCCCCAGTATATAAAGCCAGTCTGTATGAGTCCAAACTCTATCCCAATGACTGCTTCAATTTATCATTTAAATATATAAAATTCTTACTTCAACAACAGAAAAAAGTTACACATTCAAAATATGACAAGTCCATCATACAAATTTAACATCTAATACGCAAACATCAATCTTAAACATTGTAAATCAACTATATATGTATATTGACCACCATTTAACAAAATTTATTCTAGACAGTAATTTGCTCAGATTAAATAATTTACTTACAAATGGCTCATGAATGATTATGGTAACAAATGAACCTACAAATTGTAATATTTAGTGGAATTTTGATGAAGTATCAATACTAAGCAAACAACCTGAAATAAGCCAGTTCAATATTTTCATTCTGTGCATCACTTCAAAATAAAAGGCCTGGGAGCATATTCAACCACCAAACTTCCATGGAGAAGTGGTATAGTTTTCATCACATGGACAAATTCAAAGTTCCTTGCAGGCTTCAAACTCACATAGGCAGAAGTCATTTGATGTCACTAACCCTATTCATTGTCACCAGTAGCCTCATGTTTTCTCCTTGGTACAGTTTATATTAGTATATGACTAAAATCTTTACAGAACACATAAGTTACCTCTCCAAGGTGTCTTTCTTGTCGATGTTCATGTAATGATTTTCTCAACATATCTATACTTGTATATGGTAACCATACAGTCTGTGGTTGATGCTGTAAACAACCCTGAAAAATAGCACATACACACAAAATAGATTTAATTTGGTTCACTATTCAAACTGGCTAGAAACATTTATGTTACTTTTTCTATAAGATCTTACATAAGTTGCGAAGAAGTCTAGGAAATGAAAATGAAAATTTATGCCAAGTTATATCAAAATCCCTCAATGCATATACATGTAGAAGTTTTGCTCTGGACAAGTGTTTTTCAAAGTTTATTCATGTCTATATGAAATAATAACAAATATCAAATTCTTTTAATCCCATCCTGTTAGAAAGCAAAGAAACTAAAAAAATGACAATATAATCAGCTTGATGGAAAATGTTCTATAACATAAACCCTGTTTTACATAGTGACAGATAAAATGATATCTTTTATATTTAACATGACTTTGTGTAGCATTAAGGAATATTTACTGGTTATAACATTCAAAACAAGCAACATCATGTGACAAAAATATTTTTCATGAGGCATGAACCATTTATACATACCTTTAACTGGAATAATTTACTGTCATGACCACTAAATGTTTCAATAACAGAGTCCATATATTCTACACAAAGACTGACAGCTTCTTCTAGAAGGTCATATTCTATATACAGACGTAACAACTTGGCGGAATTCAATCCCTGAAACATAGTATAACTATGTCATACCATATAATAAATGTTTTTTTTTCTCCAGATTTGAGTACAATATGGCATGGAGA